GTTGGTACTGCTCTGTTAGATTGTTCCACCTTTCTGGCTGCTAGGTCCCCTGTTCCCTGGAAGGGGTCTACCCACTTTGTATACTACAGAAGGAGGAGATGGGCTCAGGGGGATTAGAGAGACGGAGAGATAAGTCACATGTGCATGCTTTCCCCTTCAGGGATAAATGAGTAGGCCTCAGGTCTGTGGTCCACAAAACGGAGAGGACACCCAGTTGGAAAATTATTTCCATACATGATTGTCAGCACTTCAGCACCCCTCCTATAGCATCAGACAAAAGGGATCAACTAGGTAAGTACTGGAAAACCATGTTTTCCAAACTGCCACATCTTTGGACATTATTGTCAGTATATTCGTGGGCCATAACGTTGAAGGATCTAAATCGTAGTTGGGTAATCAAGTAAAAGTCCTGAAACCAAGAAATGTCTCATTGATGTGGGTGTGGTGGGGAATAACAGCATATGAAGTTAAGCTCAGCTTGCTAATAATCTACCAGCAGTCAGGTGTCGTGAGTAATGCTGTTGGTAAATTCACGGGACTGATCGTATGTCCAATTGTAAAACCTATATCTGGGGAGATATTACTTTACAACACCCTATGGTGATAACACATTTTTTCCACTTGAGTTATAACATGAGACAGCTATATTAGCATCAGGAGATCTGATAAGGTTCCTAGTATATATATATATACAGTGAGTGTGTCATAAATATAAGATCCTCGTGGAAGCAACAGCGGTGTGTCAGTCGGTTGTGGATTCTCAGTATGACCGTCCTGTGCTGAAGGCTAGAGGTGAGCGATGTGGAGGGTCTTTGTATACACTGAAGACAGATCTATTAATTATAAACATCCCAGACTGAGGCTGTACCCATAATCAATATTCAGGGGAAGACTCTGAAATATTTTGGAAAGATCTCATCTCTCATGCCCTGAAATGCTATGAGGAGGTCAGTCAGCCAATTAACATACACTGTGTAGATTGTTTGGGTAGACAGCCTGTAATTTGTTGAGCTGGTTGCTGGCAATAAGAAGAATCAAATAAAAAGAAAGGTGTGTTAGTTGTTGGAACTGTCTACAACAAGCAGTCAGCAATTGTATTACTTGTACTGTGTACTATAGGTTAGAGATAGACCTTAAAGGGATGGTCAATGGCAGATTTCATTAGGGCAGAACTATGCTCTTCATAGTACACTACATGTAATAGTATTTGGACTCCCCACCAAATAAATTAGTTCAGGTGTCTCCAGTGAAGGGTCCAGTTAATACTTCATCACACAAAGACATTTTAGACAATTGTGCGCTTCCAGCCTTGTAGCAAAAATTTGGGTAAGACCCTTTTTTGTTCCAGCATGACTGTCCCCTGTTTACAAAGCCAGCTCTATAAAGACATGGTGTGACCAGTTTGGTGTGGAGGAACTCGAATGGCCTGCAAGAATTTCTGACCTCAACCCTACTGAACACCTTTGGGATGAATTGGAATACAGATCTTCTAATTTGACATCAATACCTGACCTCCCAAATGCTCTTCTAGCTGAATGGACGCTAATTCCCATAGACACCCATCAAAAAAGCCTTCCCGGAAGAGTGGAGTCTGCAAATCTCCTTTGTTTTGGAATGAGATGTCCTCCACACTAAATTGTTGCCACAAGGCAAGCACGAAATTGTCTGGAACGTCTTTGTATGCTGTAACATTACCAGTACCCTCATTTGGAAACACCTGAAGTCCATCATTTTGGGAAGGGGGTTCCACACACTTTGACCATGTATTGTATAAGCACACGAACATAATGTAATCGAATCTGCAGTAAATCCTACACTATTCATGTATCAGAATTGCTCAGATTCCTGAACTGATCTATTCTCTGTAGAACAGACACATCTACATGGAAATATGGAATTAAAAACTCAATTGGTGTTTCTTCTGGTTCCAACATTGCTGCAGCAGTACTGGGTACCTGCATTTGAGTAAAATTGTATAAACATGCTGGGAATACATTTGGGGGTGAGGGTGGAAGAATGTAGTTCTGTAATGAGTGTGGTGCCCCCAGAAAGATTTATTCCATGTGTTCCTCTTCTTCTCCCAGTTCATACTACAGCAGCTACCAGGTCATCCAACCACCCAAGCTGTGCCATTGTCGGAGAAGACTTTCTGCTTCATCTTATATCCCTTCTTACATCATCTGCCAACCACCCTCTTTTATCTGAACCAGATCCGAACAGTTCCTTGTCCACCAAACCTGTAGCGGTGACGGCAGTAGATACTGGAAGTATGTCAGGCATGGACCCACCTAGCTATGAAGATGTGATGGCTGGTGCTGGAGGTAGGTGTTATTGAGAGACGCAGCTAATATCAAACCTCTGATATCTTTGTATAGATGATGTGTACTGGTGCTATAGAAGGACACAGACTGTGTAGATCTTTTCATCTTTTCATTTTCTCTATGGTGTCATATGCTGCACAAGGTCAAAAATGATATTTCAGATATTTTGTTATTTTGGGATTTGGATCCGAAATTCAATTCAGTCTGGGTCTCGGATTCGGACGCAATCCAAATTTTTGTTAGTTTCGGATGAGTTTACGAATATTTGTTGCGAATACCACAGAAAACCGTATACAGATATCAATACTAAAGCTGAAGCTCTGAATTGCATTTGGGAGCTCCTGAATGCCATTCGGGTCTGGGAGCCATATACATATAGTACTAAAGCTGAGGCTCCCAGACCCGAATGGCATGCGGGAGCTCCCCAAAGCAAATTGGAAAATTCAGATCCCGAAAGCCATTCAGATCTGGGAGCCTCAGCTTTAGTATTATATGTATATACTGTATATGGCTCTCATGTTGCCGTAACGAAAATTCGTGTTCAGACCCATTCGGATGCATTAAACCGAAAAACACATCTGATTTGCCAGAAAAGTCACATGTCCGATTCAGTTTCGTTTTTGAACGAAATTTGGACGGGATCCGAAAATTCGGAAATGGAAATTCAGATGCATTGGGATTCGGAAATTCGGATTTTGATTCGGCACAAAACGAATCGCACATGTTTATGATATCATAACACATTATGAAACAGGTGAGCAGCCACAGGAATATATGTAGAAGGGTGTGGGTATAAAAAAGAGCTTCAGGGGTGCAGAAACCTAGGAGTATAAAAGCAGTGATCCTTTATTAAACCAAAAAATTAGGGCTGTGGAAATTAAAGATTAATTTCTCGATTAATCGTTAAACTTTTTGATCGTTTAAAATTATTTTGATCGCTAATGAAAACACTCACCTCTCGGCCGGCTTCCAGGAGTCCCGTCGGCGATCCGGTGACGTCACGGACATCGATGTCACCAGACTGCTCCCCCCCTTCCCCAAGTGGCTCAGTCGACTAATGAAGGGAAGGGGGAGGAGTCCGGTGACGTCGATGTCCGTGACGGCTAACGAAGGGAAGGGGGAGGAGTCCGGTGACGTCGATGTCCGTGATGTCACCGGTCCCGGGTATGAGGCCATTACGGGTGGTCAGCATGGTAAGACTTTTCTAGATTCCAACATGGATAACAAGACAGAGGACTCAGTTAAGTTGTGTGCCCTTTATTAGACCAATTATATCAGAAGGGTGTGATTCTGTACCCTATGGCCTAGGGTGGGATTCTGTACCCTATGACCTAGGGTGTGATTCTATACCCTATGACCTAGGGTGTGATTCTATACCCTATGACCTAGGGTGGGATTCTGTGCAGTATGACCTAGGGTATAATTCTGTACCCGATGACCTAGGCTGTGATTCTGTACCCTATGACCTAGGGTGGGATTCTGTACCCAATGACCTAGGCTGGGATTCTGTACCCAATGACCTAGGCTGTGATTCTGTACCCAATGACCTAGGCTGTGATTCTGTACCCTATGACCTAGTGTGTATATCTGTACCCTATGACCTAGGATGTGATTCTGCACCCTATGACCTAGGATGTGACTCTGTACCCTATGACCTAGGGTGTGATTCTGTACCCTATGGCCTAGGATGTGATTCTGTACGCTATGACCTAGCATGTGATTCTGTACCCTTTGACCTAGGATGTGATTCTGCACCCTATGACCTAGCATGTGATTCTGTACCCTATGACCTAGGATGTGATTCTGTACCCTATGACCTAGGATGTGATTCTGTACCCTATGACCTAGGATGTGATTCTGTACCCTATGGCCTAGGGTGTGATTCTGTACCCTATGACCTAGGGTGTGATTCTGTACCCTATGACCTAGGGTGTGATTCTGTACCCTATGACCTAGGGTGTTATTCTGTACACTATGACCTAGGGTGTTATTCTGTACACTATGACCTAGGGTGTTATTCTGTACACTATGACCTAGGGTG